AGTGAGCGTACCCTGAGAGGACTGAGCAGGACATTGCTGGTTGCAGGCTGCTCCAAACGGCTGCTGTCCTCTGGGACTGAAGAACTGCCTGACTGGAAGGCAGAAATGACAAGTTTTCAGGGGCTTTCAAGAAGGAAAATGGGTTATGATGGTAAGGAGGTGTAAAACTGACATCTAGATGGATCAGGGGAAAACTGGAATATGGCTGACTCAGTAAGAGTCTACAGAGATGATAAGGGGAAGAGGAAAGGCTTACAGCCGGGACAGAGGAGGATGGTCTGTGATCTTGGAGAAGACTTCTCCAAGACCTGGAGCTGAGCACAAGCCTCCCTTGTTCAGTTCCTGTGTTTGGCTCTTGGCTCTGGAACCCACCAGGTGTTGACAGTCATAGACTCACTGAGAGACAGGCTTTCAGTGGAGGGGATCTGGAGAAATCCTTAATTCCATTTGTCTATCTCAAGACCAAGTTACAATCACATCACCCCAAGCTACAGTATCTTATTGCTGATACTGAAGTTTTGTCCAATGCCTAATCTAAACCTCCCAAGCTGTTTCTTTTATGCTTCTTTATGTTTTATTCTTCATGATCTTTCCACTAAGAATGTACTATTTCCTTATTCTTTGCAGCAGCATTTTAGTTGAAGACTATTAACCTTCCTTCTTCTCAGTTGTTACTTCTTCAGCAAAGCTCCCCCCACCATTTCTTGTAGTCTTCCCTCATGTTTTCTGGACCTCTGTCCATTTTTGCTGCTCCCCTCTGGCCTCTTAGTTCATATCTTTCTTGAAGTGCAGTGCACTAAACAGGACACCGTCTTCCAGGTGAGTCTTTAGCAGTGGGGATCAGCCCACATGGACTCTTTCAGTAGTCTTTAAGACCCGTTAGACATCCCAATGTGAGGGCTTCACCATTCATGTTCAGCTTGTTCCACCATAGTCCCTGGATTTTTCTCTTCTGAACTGGTACCTAGACAGTTATGCAAGTACAGATAAGTATTTCTGTGCAAGCATGGCATTTTGCACTACTCCATTCCATCCATTTTAGATGACTTCTTTCAGTTTCTCAAGATCATTTTAAATTCTGATCTTTTAGCATCTATAACATCTGCAGTCTTTCCTTGCTCCATCTGCAAGTTTAATAATCCCACTTCATATTCTGTCTTCTATGCCTTCAATGGAAACATCAAATAAAACTTGTTCTGGGACCAAGGCCCGCTGAATTCCTTGCAAAACACGCATATTTTGATAGGTTACAATGGAAGTACCCCATGGATACAATTATCCAACCAGACTTGACCTTCTGCCCCTTCCCACAGCAGTTTCATTTAGATCACAGTTCACTAGCCTGTTCACGAGGATATTATAGGAAGTACTGCTAAAGGCCTTGCAAAAAATTAAATAAAATCAGGCTATATGACATCTGCGGCCATTACTTCCCCCTCCCTTTAAGACTCCTAGAGTGAAGTTGATCAGGCTCAGGCAACTGTAAAACATCTCACTTAACTGGTTACTCTCCGAGCAAGTTTGGCATATTTTAGGCTGAAATTTTACCCCTTTTTTCCAGGTAATAATTGCACTGTCTGCTTGCTGCTGACCTTTTTAGTAAAGATTGATGAAAAAGGGAGGAAAAAAGGACATTAAACTCTTCAGCTTCCTTAAGGTCCTCTGGTGATAGCGCACACCCCCACACCCCCCATCTTTGAGTGGTGGTCCAAACTTCCCTTTGTTTTTTCTCTTACAAGCTTACCTGTAAAATTTCTTTTACTTCTGCTGTTTTGCTAGTTGCATCTTGTGCGTTTTGTCTTTACCAACTGCATACACCCCCTCAACCCCCCAAGAATGGAGTATTGTGCTGGGTTCTCAACCAGATGACCTAGTTTCTACTTTACAGGTCTTTCTTTCTCTCTTACGCTTGCGGTCAATTAAAAGGTGGTAAATTATCTGACCTCTGCTGAATTTCCTTACTTTCCTCTAAACTGGCATAGGTTGCACTTGGTTTCTTATTAGCATTTCTTGAGGGATCTGACAGCTCTCCATAATTTATTTTTCCCATAGATTTGCCTCTTATGAGATCTTCCCTACCCATTCTCTGAGTTTATTGACATCTGCCTTCTTGAAATCTAGTGCTGTCAGTCACTCGGTTGGATCAAGTGGCAGAAGTTGACACTATGTTTGCTGTAGTACTAATTTCTTGTGAAATGTCATCTCCGGCAGTAGATTTTGAGTCGTATGTTACACTGCCCTCTACCTACATGTTAAACTGCAGCACAGCTTAGGAAGGCAGTGACAATTACAGTATGTATTAGCCCTTAAGACTTAGGATGCTGTTCAGAATTTAGCATGAAGAATGGGAAGAAAAGCATAACTTCAGAGAAACCTTCTGTAAGGCATTAATAACTGCCCCTGTAATGGATCTCAGTCAACGTGGACAGAGGATCAGTGCTGATGAAACACTTAGAACACAAATTCTTTGCAATAATAAATAATGCAGACCAAGGTATTCAATGATCCTTGCTCTAATTTGTTTACTAAAAACTTAGAACATTATGCAGCTGTTTCATGGTGCAATGGGCAGACAGTGAGACCGTAATGGGGGAGAGGAAAAAAAAAGCAATGAGCTTCACCTTAAGCAAAAACGTCTGACCAGACCACACTGGTACCTATGTCGTGTAAGAACAGTGACAGAAGCTCTTACTGACATTTAACGCAAAACCAGTAAGACTTCAGGTCCTACTAAACCCCTCTAATATTCTTTAAAGTTGGTTGAGACCACTGCAGATACCTCATGGACACTCTCATAGGTCAACTAGAGATGGTCAAGAAGTCAGGCCAAGCCTGGTGCCTGTATTAGAAAGGCTTCCTGTTACATAATTATTTTTACCGACAATATTACAACGCCAGTTTCTTTACCATCATTTCAAGTCGATTTGGATTCCCTAAACAGTGAACATTTATTACCAGTAACCAGTCCCAGCTACGGTTAATTTTTATGACAGGTGTAAACTAATGAAAATGTGGGCATCATACTGGCAGTGTGGTGTTGGAAGACAGAGGAACAAGCCTTGCGTATATATCGAGTAGTGGTGATGGTTTAGAGAAATTCAGGTTGTCAAATCACTCCAAGTTACACGCTGCAGGGAGCCAATGCGCAGTGTCAATACGCTATCTAGTGGCTGTATCGATTATGACATTATTCCTTAATTGCTTTTCTTCCGCTTGTGAATTGTAGTATCAAAAAAATACTTTGGATGAAATTAGGATTTGTACGTCTGTAACCATTCCATAATGAATTTAAGACATTTTGAGGTTGTAGGTGATTAATAAAAAAAAAAATGGTAGGAAAGTCCCCGTGAATACGCAGACAAAACTGTTGCTGGGAAGTTCTAGGCAGTTATTCTTGTCATTAATAGCATTCTGACAGGCACTGGACAAGCGGTTAAGATTTTTCTCCTTCACATACAGACTACGTTCTAGATCGACTAATAAAAACCAGCTCAGTTTAGGAGTGCTTCAAGAACAAGTTCAAGTATTTTCTTTAGCTGCTAGCTTATGCAATGTGCTGTGAGATAAAAGCAGATACTCTAGATAGGTACTTGAAACTGGGCGCATAGTACACAGTGATGCAAAGCCAGATGCGTTCCCCTCTAATGGGGAAAACTAATCCCCCTCCCTTGAGATCATGGACTAGGAAGAGGAGGAGATCACACACAACAGCATTATCCCAGTTTTCTGTTTCTGCCAGGAAGGAGATTGACCCTCAGTCAATCAATTATCCACCCTTTCTGCTTTGTTATTTGTATTATCTGTGAAACGGAGATAGTACTGTTCTGTGGAAGCTACAACAGCTGTATTGTTGATGAGTACTTCAGTTGTAAAGGCCGTAGTATTTTCTGTATTATACATATGAAATAGAAAATATTGTATGTATATATTACCTGTACCAGTATTATTTAGGGTACTGCATGAGCTACAACTAGCACACAAACTAGTTATTTTAAAAAAAAAAAAAGGGAAAAAAAAAGGTCTGACTCACCATCACTCTCAGCAATTTTGTACTTTTCTACTTAATAACCGAGAAAGCTCCCTAGGCAGCTGTTAAATCATTTAAGTGCACTTAATTAAGTATGTGTATTTGTTTTAGGAGTCTGAGTAAAGACACGATGATGCAGGTTTCAGCTTGGGTAGCACTTCTTGAACTGTTCTTTCTAGGAAAGCAGAAATTTTGTTTTTCTCTTTCTTCACGTATCATGAAATCAAAGGTGCCAATTTTGTTCTCCATTTTTGGTAAATAGTTCACATACCTGCGTTTATCATAATTATTTCTGATATAAAGCTTCTACGGTGCATGTCCTTTGCCACGTACAATAGCGGTTAACAAACAGGTATATAAATACAACGTATGTATATAAATGTGCCCCACAGGTGGTTGCTGGACTAAGTTTACAGACTCCACTTGATAAGAAAACCATGATTTTTAAGAGCAGTGCATAGAAGTCAGTTGCTTGGTCTTGCTCTTTCATCCCAAATAAATCCAAACCTCAGAAGCTTATGCAATAAGCAGGTAAGAGTTGGCAGGTCTACAGGCAACCTGCTTTAAGTGCTCAAAGCCGAGGAGTTTAACCTCTTCTCCCCTCCTACCTGCAAGCATTTTCTATGCTTTCTTCTGTCTCCACATTCACTCCAGATCAATCACCCTCAAAAGACGTATTTTAAAAATGCCTTAACTGAAAGAACAACTTCCTTTTAAGATGACAGCTAGCAACAGAGATGGGCTTAAAAATACGTCAGAAAATTAGGTATGTTTCTGACTGGGACTTCCAGCCTTGTGTGTCTAGCTCCAGAGTGCACGATCCCCGACTTATTTTTATTTTTTGTACAACCAGCACAACCCTGGCCACAAAGGTATCAAAATAAATAATTAGTACAAGAAAAAAGTCCGGACACTCAGGATTCATTGCACAAACATTTAAACTGAGGAAATAATTTCTTTTGCAAATGCATTTCTCTTGTATAAGAATAATTTTGTACAGAAAATAGCTCTTTATACGTTTTACAGGAATAGGCTAACATTAGATTCTCTATTAATGGATACTGATTGAATGCAATTTCAGGTTTCAGTTATGCTTTAGAGTCACCAAATATCAATAACACAGCAGTACATCATTTCTCTAATATCCTTAAACTGCTTGACTTACCAAGTACTGAGTCAAGAGAGTGAAAACATTTCTAGAACCACATTAATTTGCACACACTGAAGTATCTTGAAACTCTTAGTTATGAAATACCTCCTGAAAGTAATACCGTAATTTAAGTGTCAAGGAATATGAACTTAAACCTTAACAAGGCAGCATTATTTGCTCACTTAGATTATCCTGCTGGCTAATACTGTAAAAACCAAATTGAACAGAAGCTTTTATGGTTTACTGGTAACGTGACCTTCAAAATGAGATAGCAGAAGCTACTCTAGTAAGTGTTATACAGCATTAATACAACATATAAATGTAATAAAAATACTTTCATTTTCTTAAGAAAACACCACAGAAGGTAGAGGAAAAAAATCAGTAGATTAAGATATAAAAAGTAAAACTGAAGGATAAGAAGAAATTGAAAAACACACATATATGTATATTTTCCTATGTAAGAGTATGCTAGGAAGTACATATATTTAATCAATTTCTTCAAAGACTGTGTAAAAGCCCATATGGTATCACGTGGACCTCAGACGTAAACCACATTCAAACACTTTTCCTGTACAATTGCTGTTTCAAGCACCTGTACTTATACGCAAATTTCCTCTGAACTTAGTGGGAAGGTAAGGACATTTATCCTTGAAATACAACTATATGCTGTAATCTTTCCTTGCTTTCTAGGTGTTTTGTAAGTTTAAATAGGAGCTGTAAGCAAACAAGTACTATATAACCCAATGACAGAAAAACTGAAATTTAGATTGTATGTGATCTATTTACTATTCATAAACAGCCACTTAGAAGTTTGCCAGCTGTACCCTATATAAGTAGTGTTGACGCTTCCATGCTTCACGACTCAAATATGCAGCTATGTTCAGTCAAACACGGCCCTTGCTCTGAGTTAGCCAGTCTCTTAACACATACAGCTTTCAAATAAATTCAGCTGGAACCGGTACACCTCTCCTCCTCACAGCACAGAGACAGTAATGAATCACATTATACTGGTTCACATTTCCACGTAGTTAGAAAGAGAAACAAGCCCCCTGCAAAACCTTATTCCAGTGATTTTGCAAATTCTGCATAGTCAATGTATCCGTCATTGTTCTTATCATCTCTTAAGACATCATCTATTAGACTGATCAGCTCTTCTTCTTTCATTGCCTGGATATGCTCACCACCTTCCTACAAAAAGAAAACCACATTGAACGGTTTAGCAATGTTTCCCATCTAGTGGCACATACGACAGATTACTGACAACTAATTTTTTGTTAAGCTATTCATGTTTGGAGCCTAATTTGGCACTGAGTTTTATGTAATCAACTGTACCAATATAAGCAACTTTTACCAGGTGCAAGCTATGAAGTCCAAGTTCTCCGGACTTCAGAACAAGCACTCTGCATCCAGTTAATATTCTTAGACAAAAGTTCTAAATGCTAAATAGCACAGTCTATGATGATGGATAATAATTTAACAGATGTATTCTTAATTTGGATCTTGATGTTAGTATAGACACTACAGTTTCTATACAGGACAGAAACATCTTCCTGTGCATCAGAACTTGCAAAATGCAGAGCCTGACAGTACGGGAGTAGTGAAAAAATCTGGCACTTGGAAGTCAGTAAAATTCTTGGTATCGCCTCTTAGGAGCAAAGGGGAATAAAAAGAGATGCCTTTACACAAGCAACAGCAAGTCATTACTCTGTTCTCGGCTAAGGTATTTTTTGCCACAGGTGTACGCAGGAAGTTGTGCTATTCTGAATTGTAACTACCAGAAGGTCAGTATGAGGTAATGTGTTAGTATTGTCTTCCTACCTGCTCCTCGCTGGAAAGAGAATTTGTGTTTAGAAAAAGGTGAAGAAAACAAAGGCAGACCGTGACTGGCTCTTCAATACTAATTTTGTGCAAGACATCTCTTGCAGTTTGCATATTCACGGCAGTAACAGTTTGGAGTTGAAAACAGCAGCCTTAGAACTTCGAACAGCATCGTAATTATGTACGATTTCTATAAACCCTCATTAGCATTATCCCATTTTGGATACTTTCCCCTTCTCCCCATCCCTGCCTACCAAAGTATCCCCCCTCTGCCAAATCGTTTTCACTTTACAGTCCTTCCTCACTCTAAAGTTTGAACCACAATGGAGACTTCATGAAAACTGCAATGTGATGCAAAAAGCTGTGATAAAACTAGTGCATTTATAAATCAAACCAAAACTGTCAGGGGGAAAAATAATCTCATTTTCAGGCAAAACTGTAACTGCACTGAAGATGGGTTGTAACTGTTCTGTTCTAGTGTAAGCTTCTTTTAGGGAGTCAGAACTCTTTTCAAACACACATGCCGTTACAAAATTCCACCTACCTCCTTGTGGACATGCGATATAGCAGTAGCAAGCTCTAACCCATCTAGCAAGTTATTGCCATCATAATCATGCATTTTGAAGTAATGAAGCTGCAACTCTTGTGGAGACATCTCGGATTCTGGTTTCTCAATAACACCTTCCAAATGTTCCATGATGTGGCTAAGAAAAAAAACCAACAACAAAACAAACCCCACAACAAATCAGTCAGTTAATATTTAATGGTCTGTTTACAACAAATTTAGTCTTAGACAGTCAAGGACAGCGGAAATGTGTATCTCTAAAAGCACCCTGGACAGGCGAAAGCTACAGTTTTTATACTAAAATGAAGGGGGCACAAAGGTTGGTTGGTTACAGGTTTTGTAGTGGTCTCTAATACCTTAGAGAGCTATTTCTCTTTCTCTTGGCCTACTTAACAGGTTATCAAGACAACTAAAGCAGTGCCCAAAATCTCCTTTTGGCTGTCTTCCAAAGCACAGGAACTGGAGGAAGATCCTTCCCAGTCAAACATGAAGTACTCTAGGGAGTTTTATTGGCTGCTACCACTGTTTTGCCTGCATGAAGAAGCAAATGAGAAAAAAACCTCTCACTTTACCTGTTCAGGATATGATTTTGTCTATAGTATGTTGATCTCGGTAAGCAGGATTCCTGTAAGAAATTCTTTACAGTATGAGTAGGGCTAAAGGCTCCAGAGAGACCTTTCTAGCTCTAGTATCTCTAGAAACTTATCGAGAAGGCATGTCTCATATCTGACTCTAGCTAGTCATACAATATCCTGAGAAAAGAGAGTGCCACTGGCTTAAGTCCAACTCATGTAACAAGACTTAAAAGATAAGCGAATCATTAAGAAGTAAAGCTTATATTTTTAGAACATGGAACACATACTCTTTATCTTGTACCAAGTTCTTATCAAGGCGAATATTTGCATGTTGACTCTCTCCTACATGTTCCTCAGCTAGGGCAGAGGTGATGAATGCCGCCAGAAAGCAGAACAGCAGACGTATTCTAAAAATCCTCGTGGACATCATGATCTCCTACAAAAAGTAACCCCCCCCCCAAAAAAAAAACCAAGATGAAAAATGCAGTCTACTTTCAGTTTTACAGAGTGCTTAGAAATAACCCTACTAAGTTAGAAGAACTTGCTTCATTTCAAACACTGAGCAAGCAGAAAACCAGAGAGCTCCTATTAAGAATTTCAATGAGGGTGTAGAAGCATGCAGTAATTTTCAAAGAATTACTTTTTTTTCTTCCTTTTTCACGCACTGAATGTACGCTCTTTGCCCACGCTTGGGGCTTCACACAGCTTACAGCCCGGCAACCACGCCAGCTTCACGCAAACCGGCCCCAGAGCTACCGGGATGAAAGGTCGCTCACGGTACCCCAGGGGCTGCGCCTCATTAATAGATCTGCTAACGCCCTCAGTAACGAACAGCCTTAAAACCGCAGCGGCCATTGCAGCGCTCGCTTCCCGGGCAGGTGAAGGGCCTGGCGGCAGCGGCGACACCTCTCCGCCCGCTGAAGCAAACTCCGGTTTGCAGGCGGCTCGGCACGGAGCGCTGCCGGGGGCCCTG